TTCTCAACGAATCCTGAATCATTTGTCTGCATTTGGCTAGATCAACACATTCATTCGAAGCACAATCAGGAAGTAATGGAAAAACTCCGTCTAATCATCAATTATCTGAGCATCTTTGACAATGAACAGCGATGTGAAGAATACATTCGACAAACTCAAACGGAGCAGATAGTCCTAATTGTTTCAGGTGCACTAGGTCGAGAACTAGTGTCACGTATACACAATCTGCCGCAACTTGCAGCATGTTATGTCTTTTGTAAGAACGTTACATTAAATAAAGAATGGGCTGATAAGTATTATAAGGTACATCTATTTAGATTTCATTCTATTCATGATAGAACTTCTTTTTAGGTGAAAGATGTTATTGTTAAGCCAGATGATTTGATCTCAAAAATCTCCAACGATCAGTTTATTCGCAACAAACTCGAAGAGAGTAGCTCAATCTCAATAATGATCAAAGATTCCCCTACGCTAAAAGAGCACAATGTTTTATTCATGTGGTTTCAACTGTACATTGAGGTTCTTCTACGAATGCATCACAAGTTGTGTGATCGACAAGATATGATTGATCTTTGTAAGAAACGGTACGGGGACAATCGACTAGAGATGAACATCATTCATGAATTTGAAACTGCATACAAACCCGAACTTGCTATTTGGTGGTACACTCGGGAATCTTGCTTCTATCGAATCATGAATAAAGCTTTACGTGGACCAGATTTCGATACTATCTTCGATTTTCGATTCTTTATTACGGACATAGCGAAAGAGATAAAAAGTGAATATGAAAAGTTTATTCGGACGACGAAAATGCGTGAAGCGTTCCATGTTTATCGAGGACAGAGAATCAGCAATGATGAGCTGAAACTGATGAAGGAAAGTCAAGGTGAATTTTTATCGATGAATTCTTTCCTATCGACGAGTCTAAGTCGATCTGTGGCTCTCAATTTCATTAGCTCGATTATCCTTGCTGACGGCTATCAGCGAATTCTATTCGAAATCGAAATAAATCCACAACAGAAAACAAAAGCTTTTGCTAATATTAAAGAGAGCAGCTACTTCAGAAAAGAAGACGAAGTGTTGATTATGCTTGGTGCTCTATTTCGCATCGATAAAGTTACTGAAGATCAATACAATAAGATTTGGACGGCTAACTTATCCTTAGCTGATGATGACGATTTTCATTTGCGAGAAACTTTTGCTCATATGAAATCGAAAATTAGCGAAGAAACCGACATGGCCTCTCTTGGCAAGATTCTCTTTGAAATGGGTGAATACGATAAAGTGGAAAAATGCTATGAACATATGATGCGCGCAGCTCAACTGGATGTTAGTGCTGCTCACTCTGGACTGAGCAAAGCAGCTGTGGGAAAGAAAAAATTCGATGAAGCCCTCGATCGTGAGCTAGAAGCCTTAAAAATCAGAAAATCAATTTTGCCAGCAGGTCATACTGATTTGGCTGTCTCTTACAGCAGGATCGGGAGTATTTATAGTGAACTAAAAGATTTTGAACATGCTTTGAAGTACTTGAGAAAGGCCATGAAAATTGAAGAAAATTCTTTGCCACATGACTCTCTCATTCTTGGAAAAACTTATCACAGAATTGCCGTTCTATCTAACGAAACAGCGAATTATGAGTTAGCTTTGGAATATTATCAAAAAACGCTCGATATTCGTGTATCAAAATTACCACCTGAAAGTCCAGCTATTGCATCGACCTACACTTCTATTGGCAAGTTTTATCAGAATCAGAAAGATTATGCTGAAGCGCTCCGGTATTATCAAAACTCGTTGGCAATCTACGAAAAAACGTTACCAGCAAATCACAACAGTGTTGTGAAAGCCAAAGAGAATGTTCGCATAATGTCAGAGAAGCGAAAAAAGTAACTTTTGAAAACGTTGAATTTTAGTAATCTCCTTTGGTGTCTTTGTGTCGCTTCATCCGATTGATTTGAACAGTACAAGAATCTTGATCGGTAATTCTCCGTGGTTATAGTCAAGTATGACGATAACCATATATACAGTGGCTCCCAAAATTATCCGACAAGCAACTAGAATTTTTTTCTCACTCTATATCTCCAACAAAATAAAAGCTAGAGAGCTCGGGTTTTCACTAATTTCTAGCCTAAAGTGTCTTGTAGAGATATAGTAAGTTTTAGTTCAATCAGTTAAATAGTTCAGTTTTTATTAAGGAAAAAAAACATAACATACAATTTTTCATCTTCCAAAATTATCCGACAAGTAACTTCGAGAGATAGAAAACGATCAAGCATTGGTAACCTATGTTCTCTATCAGTTCGTGAACGATTACTAGTGTCATCTATAGTAATAAATTACGTTTTGTTGCATCGATAAGTATCAACGTCAGTTGCTTAGTTCATTTTTCTTACAATGGCGCCCAAGGAAGAAGGAGTATTCTTTTGATTTACGAGAAGCTATTATAAAACATTTTATAAACGGTGATTCCGAGCACGAAATTGATCAGGAAATGATTATTTCACGAACTTCAGTTCATTACATCATCACGAAATACAAAAAAACAAAATGTATAGGAAATATTAACGGTCGAGGTCGTAAACGTAAGACTTCAGTACACCTTGATCGAGTTACGCGGCGAAAAATAAAGGTGGATCGGCGAAAATCAGCGCCATCCGTGAAAGCTGAAATTGAAACTGAATTGGGAGTAATCATTTCTGAGCAAACAGTGCGTCGTCGACTACACGAAGCTGGATTTAAGGGTCGTGTTGCTCGAAAGAAACCGTACGTTGATTAAGTCAACCGTGGCAAACGTGTTGAGTATGCTAAAACGTATCGTGAAAAGCCTCTCGGCTATTGGAATCAAGTCTTATGGTCTGATGAAAGTAAATTTAATTTGTTTGGGTCAGACGGAAAAGTTATTGTGTGGCGAACACCGAAGGAAGAGCTCGATCCTAAGTGTACTGTTCCGACCGTGAAACACGGAGGAGGAAATGTAAAGTACTGGGGCTGTTTCTCATCTCCTGGTGTAGGAAATCTTGTATTCATAGATGAAAACATGACAGGAGAAATTTATCGCGATATTTTGCAAAAAAATTTGTTGGAGTCTGTGAAAAAATTGAATTTGGGGAGTAAATGGGTCATGCAACATGATAATGACCTAAAACATCGGACTCAAATAGTAACAAATTGGTTGAATGGAAACGGGGTTGAACGGCTTATATGGCTTCTATTTTCTCCAGACTTGAATCGTATTGAACATATTTGGGACGAGGTTGAAAGGAGAATGAAAAAAGAGAAGCCGAAGAACGAAGCAGAACTAAAACAAGCTTTACTTCGGGTTTGGCACGGTATTGGCACAGATGTCACAAAAAAGTTAGTCGATTCCGTGCCAAATCGATTAAACGAAGTCATTCGAATGAACGGCCATCCAACTAGATATTAACACTTAGAAAAAATTAGTTTTTTGTAATCGAAACATTTTTTTTAATGTACTTGTCGGATAATTTTGGAAGATGAAAAATTGTATGTTATGTTTTTTTCCTTAATAAAAACTGAACTATTTAACTGATTGAACTGAAACTTACTATATTTCTACAAGACACTTTAGGCTAGAAGTTAGTGAAAATCCGAGCTCTCTAGTTTTTATTTTGTTGGAGACATAGAGTGAGAAAAAAATTCTAGTTGCTTGTCGGATAATTTTGGTAACCACTGTATATACGGGGTTGCCCAGTCTGACCGGATACTCCATTAATATTTTTTTTGTATTGTAAGGATAAAACATGCTATTGTTCGGGTCATATGAAAGAGGATCATAGATAACCCTAGATTGGTCCGAAAAACACCATGTTTTATTCTTACAATACAAAAAAATATTAATGTGATATCCGGTCAGACTGGGCAACCCCAGACATATATATCTTAAAATTCCTCTTCCTGATATCCCTATCTCACTCGTTGTGACTGTTTCTGCTGAGCTTAACGTGTAGCATTCTCTACTCTTACTTCTTGATTGAATTGATTGCACAAATATTATGATTTAACCTTCACTTGTCATTACCTGTTACGTAAAGTTTTGTTCTTCCTTCTCTTCGTAACTTTATATCGTCAATTATTTTATTGCTTATTGTTTCAGCATCAATGTATATGTCTTCTTTCATGATGTTCCTTCATACTGTCCGCATATTCTTCCTCTTCTCTCTTCTCTTCACTCTTTTTGTTGGCACCACCTTTCTTCTTCTCTCTCTCCTGCGTGAGTATATAAACGTGTGCTTTTTATGATAATGATGCGATTTTATGATATGAAGAAGCCAAATAAAGCGTAATTCCATCCGCACTAGCGATTCTTCTATCTAAAATCGTCACTTCAAGGATATCGATTTTGTTTTAGTCGGCTTGAAACAGAACCAACGAAAACTAAGACAGACAGCGTTTTTGTCCTACTCCTGCCAGCAAGCGCCGATGGACGTCGAGTTGGTTCCAAGAGATACAGATTAGGACAGAACTCAAAATTGGCGTGGGTGTCGGGTCTGGATGTGCGTGCGGGTGCGGGTGCCCATGATTCTGCTGTCCTAAAACCCACACCCACACCTACAGCCACAGTCACAGCCACAAACACAGCCACACCCCACACTTACACCCACACCCACACCCACACCCACACCCACACCCACACACCCACACCCACACCCACACCCACACCCCACACCCACACCCACACACCCCACACCCATACGCACACCCACACACCCATATGCAACAGAAAATCTTCATTTTGCTGGCTTTTTTATTGGTTATGCCGTTTGGGGTTATATTCTATGTTTCTTACTAACATTTTCGATTTATTATATTATTGGTAAATTATTCGAAAATGATGGAAAATTATTTGAACAAATACTCACTATTATTATTCCCGTATTTCTTTTGAGTATGCTTAAAGTTTATATCAATCTATTTGTTGCCAAATATATTTTCTTACAAAAACAAAATCAAATTCTTGCCATTAATAATCATCGTGTATCGATATGATTTTACTATATTTTGATTTTTTTCTCGATGCTTTTCTTGGCTTAGCTGCATCATTTACACGTATTCTGAATAGTTGTATAATAACAATCATTTATATGGCACGTCTTGATTATTCACCATTGGGTCGACAACTGGAATATCGTGATGCAGGCTTTTGTGCTTATTTAGGTTTCATAAAAATGGAAGCAATTCATCGAAATCCAATTATGTTGGCTTTTTCAAGTATTCTTCTAGTTCATCAACATACGAAACAAAACAAATCATCAGCGAAAGTACGTCAAAAATGGCGTTTAGCCATATTACTAATTCATAATCCATCGTTAATTATCTTGCAAAAAGCAGTTCTTACTCGAAATAAAGGAAATTTAGCATTGTTGCAAACGATGAAGACTTCTGGATTCGAGCATTCAACAAATGAAAACTCATTAAAAGCAATGTTACATTGTGAATATATTGGTCATGGATATATTACATCAAATAATTCAGACAATATATTTTCGAAATTATAATCAAATTATTTTATTTTTTATAAAATCATATAATAAATAAATCCTCAACTATAATAGAAGCTCTTACAGCGACCGATATACATATGTCTTTTCTATTTAATTACTTCTCATCATGTTATCCGGATTTATTTCTGTTGTTATCTAAAACTCTGATATGATTCAAGAAAATAGATTATTGACATTCAAACCTAGACGATCTCTATAAGATTCAAAGTACAATACTTTACTTGAAAACTTTAAAAAGCTGTCTGTATCGAATAGAGATGAATAGATTGAATTTAATGTGAGATATTCAGATAAATGTTTTATGCTTTTTCTTTTTTTATATACTTTGAGTTTTAAATTTGATAAATTTCAATAAAACAATTCTAATAAGAGAACTTTGAAAATATTTATTCCACGTATTTTATCATAAGGATCCAAAGATTTTTGTTTTTGAATGCATATAAACATTTAAAAATTTGTATCGATTGATCGATTTTGATTCAAATAATCATTTTGATGAAAAAAAAATATTAATTCGTTATCATGAATATAAAATTAGGGTTGGCCGTCCAAATATCGAAAGGAAAAATGTCGAAAAAAAGAATATTAAGATGAAAAATGTCCGATAAATGTTTTAGAGAATTCTGATTAGTGAAGGACATGTTTTATTATATGTTATAATGCTAACATTCTAGAAGAGAGAAAATATAAGTAATGAGAGAAAAAATTGATAATGTGTCATTTTTTTCGTTTAGCAACTATAAATGATAATCCATCTAAGTATTCCATAGCATTTATGGCACAGTCATAATATCGTTCACCAAGATTATCTATGCGGCGTTGAATAGCAATTGTTTTTGCTTGCTATTTGGTAGTAGTTGTTGTTTTATTCAATTTGAAAACATATTCGTCGGCTATTAGCAAAGGCTTTTCTTTATGTGAATTTATAAATGAAATAACTGGAGGTTTTGCTTCAGTTAAATCTGATGAAGATGGAACAGCTTCAGCCATGAAGATAGAATTTTAGTTACATAATAGTTCTTTGTTCAACTCTTTTAGCTAGTTTATATCAGATATTAGTCATCCCCATTACTACTGGTTTAGAATCTAGACTAGTAGAATCATAAGAAAAGCAACAATAATTCGATATTTATTTTTCGACATTTTTCCTTTCGACATTTCTCCAGCACACCAAAATTAGTGTATGTTTTTTTTTAATGATATTTTAATAGAAAACTTTAATAGTTAATAAATTATATTAAAAAATCGAAGTAGACTAAAACTATAGAAAGAGACATTTATTAACCACTCAGATTCGCAAGAAATTTTGGTGAGTACTCTTCACTATAATCTTCATATATTTGAAATACAAGTAGTTAGCAAGCTCACTCGTAAATGAATGATATTGAGAAGAAGTTAGGTTATTTATTAATCATACTACGGTTAAAAAAACATATTGCTTTCCACGATAATTAGAGTCATCTTGAAAACTAATGGTATATGCTAGAGGAAAAATGACTAGAATCTTTCGTCAGCACTGTAAAACAAAAGGTAAAACAATGTCAAATGTAGATGGTGTTGAAATCCCAAATTCTACTTCTGTTTTCTTTTTCTTTTAAAGTTATTCCAAAAATGTTCATGGCCACTCAACTCTGAAAATCGATCTTCAATGAAAAATAACTGCTTGCGTTTCTTCTTTTCTATATTTTCTTCAACTTTATTCTTTGTTGTGAATTTTGCTCTTTAAATGTTAAAACATAACTGTCACACATATTTATATTTCTTGGAGAATTATAAAAAAGCAAAAGTTAAGATCAGCAGATTGATTTCTACCTTTGATAAATAAGTCATTATGTTTTTTTGATTGGATATCAGTATCTATTGTTGATATAATGAAAATAACTGATTAAAATGCAATTCAATTCAAACTGTATCTTGTTTTCATGAACATAATTCAACCTATATTTGATATATCTTTTTATCAATTGAAATTAGATGTTGTTTCAAAACGACTAACATATTGAAAAACAACGGAAAGAAAATCAGAATTGTTCAAATTTGTATATATTAATTAAGAAATATCCATAAGTATTGAGTTAAATAACTTGAACAATGTTAATCTAAATAAATGATTTTATCATATTATTGTCATTAGACTTTCGACTTAATCGATTGTTGAAAACGAAAAGTTGAAACTAACAATTATCTTTTCTTCAACAACTTAGTTGATATGTTTCAATGAATTATTTACCCATACCCGTAATCTATGTTTTATTAAGAAAAGAAAAATCATAAATATATAAATAGTGCTGAGAAAAAAACTACGATTTAAATCAGCTACAGTTTATATGTAAATAGATATGAAAACTATAAGCAAGTTACCTTTAAACTACGAATTGATTAGTAAAAAAAAACATGTACAAATTTTTATTGAATTCGATCACGCTGGAACCCGGATGCACGCAAATAGTTGTACGCGATTACGGCCTGTGTCAACCACGTACAAATTACCTTGAGAGTCGAGTTTGACGCCAGTAGGACCATTTAAGGAAGTGGCAGTAGCAGCACCAGCACCAGCTACGGCACCTCCTGGTATAATGACAGTGCCAATTATTTGGCCAGGCTTAATCAACACTATACGATTATTTAAAGTATTGCTCACATACAAATTTCCAGCGGAATCAAGTGCTACACCCGTAGGATTGGCTAATATTTGTACTGCATTACCAACTTGAACACCGTTTCCAATAATTGTCCCTATATTCTGTCCAAGAACCCAACGTATGACATTGTTAGAACCCGAATTAGCGATTATTAAAGAATTTGATGCTGAATCAAAAAATATACCCCGTGGTAGATTCAACTGAGCCGGAGCATTTCCTTGTCCATTACCGCCAGCAACAACCACAGGAGCAGTAACACCATTTAGAAAGTATTGAATCACTTTATGATTGAGAAAGTCACTGACGAAAAATGATTGTCCATTAGGACCAAGTACAATACTGGATGGAAAGCCAAGTGGAGGTGCATTGTTTGGGGCAGGTGCTCCTGAAAACATACACATATTTCAACAAAAACAATAATATTTGATAATGTTTTTGCTACTGATTTCTTTCACCTAACATGATGTCACTTAATGGGAAAGTAGCAACATATCTATGATTATTCAAGTAATAGAAGAAATTCTAAGTCGAACTCGATCAAAAATTGGGCTATTATGAATAAATGTAAAACCTACTTGAGCACTGATAGGTTCCTCATATGTCTCTCTAAAGAACATTTGAAGAGTCTGATATATTTATTCTTGAACTGAAAAGTTATCTTGAAGAATATAAGAATTATGTTAAGAAATATTTTTTCAAATTATTGAATTTTTTTGCAACGAAAGTGATAATAAAAAGCATAATTGACTTTCAAAATTAAAACGGTCAATATTTATCATTTAATCCAGTGAAAACTTATTCAAACAATGAGCTCTATCTATCTATCATATAACAGTAAGTTCTTTTTTACATGCAAAGATATTCAGTTTTGAAATCAATGTGAATCTCTGGTTTAGAACTATCAACATGTGTTTTATATACAGATAATTTCATCAATGACGTTAACTCTCAAAGACAGCTTTTGAAAACTTTGGGTAGTGGGATTTAGATATAAATCTGAATGATTTGAGAAGAATTATTCGTATAGGATTAGATGAAAAAATAATTGCTTCATCGGCATTTTGCTATCTTTGATGGGAAATT